GATTCCCTATATGATATGTCCACTACGGAAGGCTTTCCAATATCTTAGGTAGGAACCCAGATATAAATGAAATCTTTGTGTTTCAAAAAAAAAGAAATGAGAACCATCCCCTTGGATCAACAAACTCTTTACCCTCTTCCTCTCCACGATTTGTTTTAATTTTCAGGAAAGAATGGGAAGAAAATGAATTGAACATTGTGGCCCTTAAGTAAACGCGAGCACAAGATACAGAAGACCCAAGAATGATTCCATTCCATCTTTGAACTTATGCACTCAAGAATGAACAAAAAAACACGATTTCTGCTTTTTTTCTGCGATGATTAACCATGAGTATGTGTAAGAGGGAGAAAAGAAGTAAAAAAAATGACTCAAAAGTAAGGCAAGCCGAAAGGAGCTAACACAAGCAAGAAAAAGAAAGGAGAGAGAGATTCAAAGCAGCTTGAACCCGTCAGATTTATCCAATGAGAACTGATCTTGATCGAGTCCAGGGGCGGTATTAGTCTCGAAGCCGAAGCCGAACAAGCTGCCAAACAGTTCATCTTTCTGCGGATCCGTCCAGAGTTCGTTCTGGATCGGGACCATCAAGGAGACCAGTTTCTCGTGGACGTCGTAGCGGATCTTGCGGCCTTTGGACGCCTTCGGGTCCACCGCTTCTCGATGGGTTCGTTGCGACCTGTAGTCATTCATTCCTCCCATCATCGTCTCTTCTGTCATCAACAAACAACGACGTGTAGGATTTTCCTCGTTAGTGAGTGTTATTTTGGGCAGATATAGGGGGATCATAAGCTCTTTTCATGGCGCGCTTTCGGCCCTCTTGTTTTGGAGTATCAGGAGGATCGTGTCGAATGCTGACCTTGATTCCGAGTAGCTGTTTGGACGACATCCTTTAACAACGAGAGATAGAAGTCGCGATCTTCGAAGATCTGGGCGCCCAAGAACGGATCCTCTGAACATCCGTTGTTTTTCGTTTGAGGAGCGAGACCAGTCCGATTCGAGACCTGTTTGGAGGTCCGACTCCGGATGACCAGCTTCTCGCGCTCCTCCTTGGATGCCCAGAGCTGCTCGATTTGGTCCATCACGTTCTCCTCTTGCTTCGTGCTCCCTCCCGAAAACTTTCGCTTGCTCATCGTCGTCGTGCTGTTGATCTTCGTCGACCATTTCCGGACCGTCGTTCGTAGATACGGCGATAATCTTTGTCCAATCACCCTCCCCCCCCCCACACACAAACATACACATTCCAACAAAACCTAAATAAATCGGGCTGTTCTTTTGTGCTACAAGATATGATTAATGGACGCACCGTTTGTCAAGTCGATCAGCTTCTTCAAGACTCTCTTTCAATCCTTTGGATATATCTACATCCGTCTCATGCAGCTCTTTTCTCCGTTTCCGAGGAGGTTCACCATCGATTGATTCCATCAATTCCTATCCAAAAAATAAAACCCAGATCAATATTGATGAGGAAGAGGATAAGGAAGAGGAAGAGAGGAATTTACTGACAGCTCTTAAGGTGCCGATCTGTGCGCTGATGCCGAGTAGATTATTGAGCGCCATCCGCACTTCTTCTTTCGCAGGTTGGCTCTCATCTTCCTTCGGGTCCTGTTTTTCGCTTTGAGAGTGGATCTGATCGACCATGTTCGATCAGTTAACGTTCCAGGAAAAATAGATTCGAAAGTCGAAACCCTACCTCGATCAATTTGTTCGTCGCAATCAGAGGCTTTTGGATCCCGATCCTTATCGCAAGGAGTCTGTCGTACGTATTCTAGATAGCAAAAAAAAAAAAAAAACTTATTGAGTGTGAATAGGGAAAGTAAAAGGATCGTTTTTGGTTTCTTGACATACCAGTTGTTTCTTGACCGCTTTTCCTTTCTCGATGTCAGCTTTAACAGAGGATTGTAAATGCTTGATCAGATCGGAGGGCTGGTCGTGTGTTTGAGTTTGTTTGGACTGGTTTGCATCTGGTTCCGGGTTCGAAGGGTGTTGAGATCTTGGCGCTTCTTCTTCTTCTTCTTCTGGATTGTTATTGGACGAGGTCGACGAAGCACGACTTGAATCTTCTTCTTCTTCTTCATCCTCTTCCTGATCATTTTCCAAGCCTACGTTTTCGTCATCTTCATCATCATCTTCCAGCTCATCAACATCATCATCATCATTCTTCTGTTGACTATTATTATCTGATTCTAATTGGCCATTATCGGGATTCATCCAATCGTGAACATTCACCAATCTTCCGGCATACTTCTTGAGCTGATTAGGGTCCTGTTCGATGTTGATCTTCTGTCTGAGTTGACTAGCTCCCATCCCGATCCTCTTCTCATTTTCTTCGTCATTGCCTTCTTCATCTTGTTCTCCAGTTCGTTTGAGTCTGGCGTCCATCGAATGGTACCCATCTTCTGGATCGATCTCCTCTGGATTGGGTTGGGATATCTTCTTGAATAGTGATGCTAGTGTGCTCATCCTGTTTGCGTTCCGTTCGAGTTCTCTTGTGGTCTTTCCTTTCTTCCTGCTGTGCAAAGTTGTTCAACTTTTTTTTTTTGGTGGTGATCCCCCCGTGGTAGTCAAATTGAATATTCAGTTTGGGATCCAGCGTGATCCGTCACTCCTCTGGCTCGCCGGATCGCGGATCAGCCGAGTCCCGTCTCCCTTCATGTTCAAACATCCCTGCACTTTTCATCCTCATCGATCCTGTCCGCCATCATCTCAGAATAGCTTCACTTCTCGAAAGACTCCAAACCCCACTCACGTAATCGAACCCTTCCAAAAATTTGGTCGAAAACCGAACAAGAAGACTCCTGATAGAAAAACCGCACACGATATTCTCACACACACCTGATCAAGATATTTACGTTGGGTAGGCTATAACATACCAGAAACAATCGGGTATATCTACTTCCTCAGCTTATATTTCGAACCGTCTCGTCTCCGAACTCGTTCTTCGTTATTTCTATTTCGACAGCAGGTCAGTCAGTTATTTCTAAGCATCGCACCATCGTCTATTATCTCCAACCGTGAGTTCCGATCTGCTGTTTCTTACTTACATCAATCGAAACTTTGAACTCAGTTTTCTTTCTTGTCTCATCCGCGTTCAAATACAGAGCCGATCAAAGCTGAAAAAAAAACAAATTGGCCTTCCTCATCAGATAACCAGGACCATTAGAGAACCTCCCCCCTCCCCCCAAAAAAACCCCAACTTTATCATGTCAGATCGCCAGTAGCGACTACGAAGACAGAGCAGCCGAAGGTACAAGCACGTCTCAAGCAGATCTCTCACCGTCTCATCTCTCAATGATCTGCGGCTGAACCTGGACTCTTTTTTCCTTGGGGGGGATGATGATTGATTACAAAAAAACAAACAAACAGGCGGTCGTCAAAGCTGCAGATATGTCGGAGAAATTGCAACAAGCGGCCGTCGATATCGCCTCAGACGCCCTGGAGAAATGGAACATCGAAAAAGACGTCCGTTGATTCTTCCTCCTCTTTTTTTCTCGTTTTCTGTGATCTCCATTATCCCGATCACCGAAGGCGTCGGACTTGTTGTTCAATCAGTTTCCATTTCGCCCCCCCCCCATCCTCCCGCTCCCAGCTCATTCTCACTTTTTCTTCTTTCTCCATTCCTTCATTCGTGTTTTTTTGTGTGTGTGTAGATTGCTGCGTTCATCAAACGGGAGTTCGATCAACGACATGGTGGAACATGGCATGGTAAGTTTACTCATATATGCATATACATACAAATTTCTTCTACCCTCTTTCTCCTTGATGATCATCATCACTTCAGTAGTGCTGATTATCTCCTTGGATTCTCGTAGTCGTTGTCGGCCGGAATTTCGGCAGTTATGTCACTCATGGTCAATAATTCTCTTCTTGATCAACTCCTTCTTCCATTTCCCCGCTTCCACACACATTTTGTCTTTTCCTTAATTCACCCCCTTCTAACTTTTGAGATTTGTTTTTTTGTTCATGTCGATCTCAGAAACCGGGCATTTTATTTACTTTTATATGGGTCAGATAGCCATTGTAAGTTTCTCAATCCAATCAGATCTTGTGTTTTTCTTTCTTATGATCAATCTGGGATGACTCACTTCTGGCCTATGACCTTTTGTTCGTTTCAATTTCTTTTTAGCTATTGTTCAAAAGTGGAAATTGATATCAAAGATCTTCTACTTTTGGCTCACCTGATTCATGATCGATCCTCTCATGGATCGAACCGATCTCTCTCTCTCTCTCTCTGCGCGAAGACCGCATGAACAAACAGATGAAAGACAACCCACTCTACAATTACCCACTACAGATCCTTAGACCCTTCCTCTCTCTCTTCCTTTTTTTGCCTTGGACAAGTCAATCAACACTTGACTTACAATCCTTTATTGAAGGGTACAATATAGTAGTTGATCACAAGCATCATATTATCCTTCTCGGTGTCTCGTCTCTTTTTTTGTTTTGTTTTTCAGTCTTGCTCATCTCTCTTGGGTCTACTGATTGTTCTTTTCATCACAATGTTTTGTATGTATATATATATATTGATTATTATTAATCATTTCTGGTGTTGTTAGAGCATTCATTTCTTTCCCACTCTCATCTTAACTCCAGTCTCTCCACCAGACAAAACAAAACCACCAAACTAACTACAGATATACTCTCTACGACACGCATTGACTTCCTCCCTCCCTATCTCTTATGTCTTCCTCTCTTCTCTTTTTTTCGGTTTTCTTGCTTTTCCCTCTCTCATATATACTCTCTTGCTTTTTTAACAAAAGAAAATGCTCTCTGTTTTTCTCGGGTTAATTGGTTGAAAGATATGATCAAACTGGGAATTTCTACTCCCTCAAAATGGTGTCTATACATACACATTAGGGGGTATCAAATATAGGAAATCCACCTTTAGAAACCAGTGACTTTTCCCAAAAAAAAATTTTGCATTAATGGGCCCTAAAAGGGGTTAAATGAAGAACCAACATGTTTAAAAAAGGGTGGATTTTTTCAAACCAGTCAATTGAATAGTGGTGGATTTGGTTATATTTGATACCCCCAATTATCTGCCTCTGGGTAACTAACCTGAGTGGTTTATGAGAAAAGGTTGTTACTAGGAGGTTGATGAGGTGTACTGTGGTGAGTTCCAGGCAGTGGGTGGTTAATACCTGTCCTGTAAATAGGAGCGATGCTGGGTGGCTACCCTTTTTGCCCAAAAAGTGTTAGTGTAGCAGTCTTTTTTGCACACCAAAATTGTGTAGTGTTAGCAAAAAGTGAGCCAATTTTTGCTACACTACACTGCACTACAGGGCCAAAATGCTGCTAGCCAGGGTGTTAGCGCAGCAAAGCAGGCACTTTTTAGGGGCCTGCACACCTAGTGCCAGTGTGGACATGGCGGAATTCTGCTACACTATGCTAAAGTTTAGCAGAATTTTGCTATGTTATGCTGCACTGACTGCTTCAGTTAGCGCAGCGGCCCACCGTTGATAGGAGGTTTCACTCTATCAGTTTGGTCTATACTGAGAGGCTTGCTATCAACAGTGCATCCGGATCAATACTAGGTATTAATAGGCATCCAGGGTGGTAGGACCCGACTGGGATTAGATTTTTCCCAAAGGGGAAGGGCTAACAATAAGTGATAAGCTTAGACGAAATTGTTGAAGGCAGCGGTGGGCCGCTACGGGCCCATGTAGCGTTAGCGTAGCGGCACCATTTTTTTTCGCGTAGTGTTAGCGCGCCGCTACGGCCGCTGCGCTACGCTAATTTGTAGCGGCGCTACACTCGCCAATTTTTGGTGTAGTGTTAGCGCGCCTCTGGTGCCGCTACGCTGCGTTACACTACGCTACAGAGTTTTTAGCGGCAAAAAACGCCTAAAAACTGCTGTAGCGCAGCGTAGCGGGCGGTTTTTTGCGCCCTGCGCACGTAGCGTTAGCGCAGATGGGGGGGAATCGCGCGAACGCTACGCTAAACGCTAGCGCAAGTTTTTTCCCCATGCGCGTAGCGTTAGCGCAGAAAATGAGAAAATCACTAACGATACACTAAATTGTAGCGGTTTTTCGCTACACTACGCTACGCTAACGCTACGGTTAGCGTAGCTGGCCCACCGTTGTCGAAGGTTATCAGAATTGTTGATGGAACAATTCAGCAAGATCTTGACCATTGTGGTTAAGTAGATTTGTTGACTGCAGCTTAAGAACAATAAGGAAGAGCTTGATTTTAAGTTGAGCTACTTGTCAAGGTATCAAAATCAAATGTTAACTGTGTTTACCTGGTGTCTGAATATTTTGGGTGATAATCAGTGACATAGAGGCTGATTATATATTTCCAAATTCAAGAGACAGGAAAGAATGGGTGCTCAGAATCAAGTGATCTTTGGCCAGGGGAATGAGCACATCATTTGAGTGACTGATCATTATTTGGAGTTATCAGTAAGTGACATCGTAATTGTGTACTGGTTGCTCTTTAACTGATCCTCTAATAATGAATTCATTATTGTGATCAGCACATGTATTAAATGTATTAATTCTATTAACAGTTAATGAACAACATTCAATACTAGTACATATCTGTTTGCAATGATATTTAATGATATTTGGCCCTGGAAATACTGTAGAACAGGTTCAGCCTGTGGTGCAGTTGCGGATGGCACAGACCAACCAGACCTTTCCCCACCCGCAAAATTCAAAATGGACACATGGGGCCTATTCCCTAACACTCAATTTTATTACAATTTTTGAACTCCTGAAGATGTGTGTAGTTCAAAATTGTAAAAATTAGGTTTTGAGTGAGTGGTTCATTTTTTTTTTCATCTTCACATACATACAATTGGACAAGCACAGATTAAGCCATACTTAAACCCATATTTATAGTTTTAAGTGATACATACCCATGGCTTTATACTACTTTTACACCCTTGCCATCTACTTTCACTGTGAATCCGCTATTCTGGTGTATTTTTTTACACTCTGGAGGCTACAAACAGCTCAAAAGTCTGACAATTTGAAAAATAACTGAAATTTTTTGGCTGGACTATTTGGACACCCTCAAAAGCCTGGGTTGGTTTTTGCAATCTAAAACTGTACAGGCATTTCACAGATAAAGGAGTGAAAGATAAGTGATAATTACCTAGGTATCAAGCAGATATGTATTTAATTGATAAGTAATAAAAGGATAAGGTAATACTTTATTTTCATATGTAATCAGTATGAATACGATAAAGTATGATAAGATAAAAATTATCGTAAGATAACAAGATGCAAAGGTAGTACTAGAATTTACATATATAAATTTGTACAGGTGTTGCAGTTACTTGGTACATGAAAGGTACTGTGACAATGTCAAAGCTGCAACAAATACAATACACAGCTTGTACCACAAGGAATTCTAACAACATATATGGCTAAGAGCCAGATTAAATGAATAAGACTCTCAATAGAACCACATTTGTTGTGACAAAAACTACATTAAGACCATGATACATGAAATGATTCATGCCAATACATTTCAAATAATGTATTTGTTGCAGCATTGGTGACATGTACACTGTGGCTGACAGACCAAAACACATCAAATGCTTGGACCTTATCAGCAGCTCAATCTTTCCCAACTTATAAACAACTTGCCTTTTCCTTCTCAGATCTTTTCTCCCTCATGGAACTCTGAGATTACAATCTGCAACCTTAATAAATGGTCTTTGTAAATCATCATCATGTATTATTAGAATTATCAGTTCCTCTGCTTGACCCACATTCTTATCGCCTCTGAGGAACATCAACCTTTAAGCACATCCCCTTCTTTTTGACCACTTTTTCAACTGACCAAGTGCTTCCCTTCCTCATGACCTCCTGCAGATTCCTTGTGAAGCTTCTTCTGGTGTATTCTGCCTTGTAGGTTAACTCCTCAACACCTTTTCTCTTTCTCATCAAAAAAATTGTTCATTAGACTGTTACTCATAGTCTTCTATTTTCTTCTTTTCTTGTGTCCTGACACTGTGTGTTCTTGTCCATCATAAGAAATATCTTGTTGTTTGCCTTTTAGGTTAGAAACTCATTTTTTCATTCTATGTATTTCTTTTGTCATTTACCTATCAATAAATACATCCTATAAGTTTGTCAATTCACAGAGGTTGCTGTACATCATTGACTGGAAGGAATTCCTTCTGGTTGATGATGTTTCTGTAAAACCTCATTAGTTAATGCATTGGTAGATTTATTTTATGCTGGACAGATGTTTTGATTTGGATCCTTGTACTTGACCCATAATTTGATGAGAAAAAATGACTCACTTGTGGTTTGGATTACCAATGCAAGATGCAAGAGTAGGAGTGATTATTTTACAAAATGTACCTGCTATGCTGAAATAATTTTCTGGTTAGTCCAATTTTGGCCCTGTAGCGGCCCATAGTGTAAGAAAGATGGGCCAACTTTCTTTCTGTGCAAAAAAAGCCACTACACCAACATCTTCTGGGAAAAAAGTGTAGCAGCCAATGGTTTTCACACACCTGTGGTTTGCTGCTTGTGTTTTGAAGATGAAATCCAATTTTGATCTGTGATAGTCAAGATCAAGAAACTTTTGAGGGTAATATTCTTTGCAACATAATTGTCACTGGCACAATTTTTATCTTTAGGATATTCCAAAACAAATATCCCAAGAAGGAAGTGTCTAATCTAAGGCAAAGAAATAATCAACAAAGGCTGGGTGATTTCTTTCCAGATTCTCAATGAGCTCAATGTAAGACACAGTCTTTTTTTACAGTGGGCAAGGTAGTTGTCAGTTGGTTTCTTGATGTCATCCAACTGCTTTTTTTCAATAGTCCCAAGAATGACTTTGAGGGAATAAATCTTGCGTAATTTGGCTTTAATTAAGAACAAACATATTGTGTAATTGGTATTGTTGAGAAGGAGAGGAGTGTTGTGGCTGTTTTTCATGATGGGAAAGGATGGCGGAGTTGAAATTCACATGCAATTTTGAGTTTGACATTGAGATTTGATTGAAGATCATTTTTAAGCATCTGATTTTTACTGTTAATTGTGATGAAATGTCACAATGATCTGGAGAAAGTAAAGGGGAAGAGTGACCAGAAAAGAAATCTTGAGGCTACACCACAGGTTGAGTATTGGAAATGGAACTCCATTGGCTTGACCCCATGGTCAAGCACTGGTTGGGCTTAACCCCTTT